GTCGGTTTTATGAACCGCGCTTGGAAATAAGCGGTGACGGTTACAGTAGATGCCGAAGGAAGCGAGGCCAGAGATAAATGGCCCCCATAGATCCGTAGAGGCCATCCGGTGAGACCATCATTGGGTACGGATGATAAATGCGCAGTCCGGGCCCGTTTCGCTCGATGCTTTGATTCGCAGAACGGTTAATGGCGCATCCTCGCGCGCCCCGAATTAATCGACGGCGTCCGGAGAAAACGCCCGACCCAAAGGTCACGGCTAAAGGATGGTCGTAGTATTAAGCATTTCACTGCTAACGGCTGCCAAAAGCCATCTTTGCTCTTGAGATGAGTGGCTGCCAGAGATTATTTGCCGAACTTTTTGAGCAGATGTAGACCAGCACTATATGAAGGGTCCAGCCACAATGAGCAGGTACCAACGAAGCATCTGCAATAGCGGGCGTATCTCCTCCAATTCTATATGTTATGCATCGCAGACTCGTCGTCAATAAGTGGACTCACAGCCGATGTCTGAGAGGTAGAGACACTGTTGAGAAGAAAAGCATTAGACCTGCTATACCAAACCGAGGAGCACCATCAAACCTCTGGTAAACTATTCTATCGAGTAAGCAATAATCGAGAGAATCGTCAGAAGGCGGTCGATTTGAATGATAGCCCATAGGCACATCTTGGGTGTCTAGAGCATGCGTCGGGTTGTTGAGAATCGGACTCCGTCCATTCGGTCAGTGGTCGCATATTGCGAGTCAGGCAGATAAAAATTGAGAGAGACAACAAGAGACGAGACGCTTCTAAGACGATCAGAGACCCACGGCAATCTTGTTAGATTGATTAGCAGGCACTGAGATGAAGCACGCATGTCACTATTAGAGGCGCTCGGTGTTCAACGTCGGCAGCGTGAAACGAACGAATAGTTCGGCTTTCAGTTCGGAGAGGAATTCCCAACTGGCTGTTAGGTGACTTGCTGAGAGTGAGATGCACGATTTTGAAGAGGGGAATGCAGATAATTTTCATTTGTATGAGCCGGTCGCGCTCATCTTCGGCTCTCGACACTAGAATTGCCTAGTTTATGCAAGAGAGCTGCGCCGCAAGCTGAACTGCAACCAGATGCGACTATCGTACGCTAGTGAGAGGGCCAGACCACGACATGGGTTTCTAGTAGGGTTGTTAAAGTGTGATCGCAGAAGATAGTAATACAGTCAGTGAGGAGATGAAAGCGGTTAAGTAAAAGTTGATCTTCACGATGTGTTTACTACTCATGATGGGTGAATTCGGGGTTTTCTTTGTCCTAATACGCCTCAGTCCCCCCGCCGCCCCATTGAATATAAATAGCATCAGGCCCACTGGGATAGATCATGTTGTTGGTAATCCTATATTTACTACCGAGTTATGAGTGTGTATAATCAGTAAATGTGTCCAGTACAATAAAGTTGATGTGTACTGTCCAGAGTTTGCTTGGGCCATTGACCAGGTTTTCAAGCCTCAACGCAAAATCCTACCGGAGCTTGCTGATATTGCAATTCGTGCCTAGCCAAAAATAAGATTCTTAATGTACTGCCCAATCTTGCTCATTGTTCCGGTATCTGACTCATAACCAACAGCCGCCCTTGCCCGATCTTCTTCATCAAAAGCAGCTGCCGCCGAGAAGTCCATTTCTGACGGCCGTACCAGCTTGGAGCGATAGTAGATCTGAACGAACGGTCAACGTAGTTCGGTGAGGCTTTCCGATGATCATCACTCACCTTGTAGCCGAAGTAATCTAGGAAGAATAGAGGCGCCGCGATGTAGGATGAAAACCAACTCTTTGCAGACCCCTTCTCGCCGAAGGGGAAGCACGCTAAGTAAAATTCGCATCCTGCGATGAAGAGGACCACAACGAGACCAAGATACTGGGCGTAAGGAGCCATTCGGTCTCGGAAAGGTAGTGTCTTTTTATCGATACCCTGCGCAGCAAGACCTTGTCGGAATCGGATGTGGGAGATGAAGATTCCCGACCATTGGAATAAGGCAGATACAGATACCTGTGGGATGTCAGTATAGGATATCAACGATCACAAATAAGTGAGATACTAACCAGAGATGAGAACCAGCCATAGACGGTAGCTCCGGTGTCGTTACAATTGAGGTAGCATAAAGCCCCTCCTATAGTGAGGCTGAGGGCTAGAGAGACGTAGGGCCTTCCGACAGTGTCTTTGCGGCCGAAGAAAGGATGCAAAATGGCCATGTCAGACAAGGCTGCAAGACTGCGGCTAGCGATGTAGGCACTGGTGATGCCACAGCTTATCACTGTCAAGAATATGAAGCCGTTTATGATGTGCGCTAGCCACATCACGCCTGCACGCTCAATGGCAATGACGAAAGGGCTCCCTAATGTGCCACTTCCATTGATGAGGTTTTCATCGTCGTAAGGAACACACATTCCCACGAGCCAAATATTGACCACGAAGAACGAAAACATGCGCCAAAACACGGGGTATACAGTCCTCTTGATGGTCCGGCGAGGGTCCTTGGCTTCTCCAGCAATGACTGCAATATGCTCTCCGCCACCGAAGCTGAACAGCGCTTGGACAAACGCCTTAGAGATACCTTTGATGCCGTTGTTGAATGCGCCAGGATTGCGCCAGTAGCGAAACTCGATTGGGCCATGTGTGGCCGAGATACCGCCCGAAGTCATGATGAACATGAAGAAAATCATGACAAATATCGCCAGAACCTTGACGAAAGACATGATATACTCAACATGACCGTAGATCCGAACACCGAAACAATTAGCTGCGGCAATGACTACCAGGAAGATAGTGATATAGGCTGCAAGTGGGACAACCTCTGTTGCTGGCCAGAATTCAAGCACAGAAACGGCTGCAGTTATTTCGGCAGGAATGCAAATCACCCACTGCCAGTAAGGATCAGTCGCCCATACATCGTCTCGAATTGGCAGAGCTACCTACCGAGAACCAAAAGTTGATGCCGACTGCGAATCCAAATGCGGGCTCCACGTATTCAATGCATTGTCTGATAAAGCCTCCATGGACCGGCTTAAAGGTCGTCATTTCACCGATAGAGGTATACTGCAAGTACACTATGAATCTAACAACGATAGGTTGGCATGTCAGCAAACCCGCAGCTGTAGCGCAGCTTGATGGACTTACGCAGTGATTGTGTATGCAACGGCGATGCCACCAGGGCCAGCTACATGCTGCAATTAGTTGCAAGAATCTTGGCCACTTCGCTCAGGGGAGCCTCACCATACTTCAGTGCAGTACCTGTACCGACCCATCTAGATGATAATGTCAATTAAAGTGAGCCAGCGGCATATAGGGTTCGTCCTACAAGCCAGTTCCCACACCAGCGCCAAAGGTCATCATCATAATCTGACGACTACCGAGCGACCGGTGGTAACCAACATCCTCGTTCGCTCCTAAGAGCTCACTGTCTCCCTTGGCAACATCTGTCTTTTCAAGGTCGGTGTCGACAACGGTGTCTTTGACGTCCACTATCTTCGGCATTGTAGCGATAGCTTGCTCCACTGACTACATGACCATCGGAGAGAGGGCCTATAGCGGCATTTTATATGTTAGTTCTGGCGACTGTCACAAAAGGTATGATAAGTGTCATTGGCCATTATAGCCGTCGTATCTGGAAAGCGGCAGCGAAATGGAGACATTGCGTCCGAGATAAGCTAGGTTGGAGCTTTGATAGCGACTCGCGGCGTTAACAGCCAGTTGTAGATAATAGTACGGAGTAGTCCGAGTCTTTCCCCATTTCTGTATGAGGAAAAGCTGGAGTTTACTAGAAGCAAAAGTGGGGTTGCTGATCATCTGTTCTGTATGAACCCTGTCTCCTAGTTTGGAGTCAGGTGTATAAGAAGGTAGACCAATGGCTTAGGCAAGTCGAACGAACGCTAAACTCTCAGTCACTCCCAACTCTTCTCATTTGATCCCTACGATAGATCAGCACCAGCACCAGCACCATGACCGGCAGTAAGAATGTGGTATTCGACATTGTCGGCACACTGGTCTCCTACGATGTCCTCTTCGAAGCGATCGACACGCAACTGGGCGACCGTCTCCGTGCGGAGGGGATCAAGCCTTCCTTGTTAGGGTACACTTGGATTGAGGTCGCAGAGCGCGAGTACACATATCTGAGCTTGTCAGGCCAGTATAAGACATTCGCTACTTGTCTGGAATTGCTCTTCTGGCGAATGCTCAAGATGGCAGGCATCCAAGACCCGCGAAGCTTTGCCACAAAGAGCGATCTTGAGTTCATCATGAGTAGGTATGCCAAACTTGGACTCCGTCCAGGAGCGGCCGAGTGCGTCACTAAGTTGCGTGATGCTGGGTTCACTGTCTGGGCGCTCACAGCGGGGGACGCCGCGAGAGTGGGGGGATATTTCGCCAACGCTGGACTTGAATGGCCCGCAGAGAATCTGAAATCCTGTGACTCGCAGGGAATAGGCAAGCCAGACTTGCGGGTGTACCAACCGCTCCTCGAGCAGCTCTCCCAGCACGGACAACCCTGGTTTGCTGCTGGACATATGTGGGACGTTTCGGCGGCTCGCCGTGCGGGGTGAGTACAGATGCACTAAAGATGCGTTATCGCGGTGGATACAGGACTAAGCTCACACATGATACAGGTATAAAGGAGCGTACTGCACCATCTGGGAGAAGGAGCCAATTGTGGAATTATTTGGAGAGATGGAAGCCATGGCAGACACTCTACCAGCGATGGCTGACAAGATAATTGCTGCGGAAAATAAATGAGAAGGGAGAAGTTGACGGCCGAGAGGCAGGCATATCGGCACTAGCTTGGTCACTAGATACTACTAGTCTGGGGAGCGTGCAAGCTACTGATAGATATGATACGTAGCCAGTGCAGTACTTCCTTTCAAATAATAGCACATGGGGCATATCTTGCAGATCCATTTCGTTGCTGATAATGCCCCAAAGAATGTTTATCTTCAACACAGACTTACTATTGGAAACAGACATCTCGCTGGATCTACTGCTATCTGCCTTTCTGATGCATTTCCTCCCACTCCTGTTTGGAATACCATCCCACCGTCCTCTCCGACTTTTCGGTAAACCATTCATCTTGCAAAAGATCTTTCGCGGTAGGCCGATCCCTCGGGTCAAGCTTCATAATCCTAAGAACAAATGCCTTGTCTGCATCACATATCTCCCTTTCACGCAGGAACCGAAATGGTTTCAGTTTTTCAGGCGGGATTACAGACATAATGCGCACAATACTTTCTTGTGTCTCCTGGTCGCAAATCTCTTTGTAAGAGATAGGGAACGGTCCAAACCACTGGTGATGCAGCACCAGGATCTTGACATCGTATAACTCGTCGCCTTCTGGTACATCCGGCTCAAATATGGGGAAATTGAAACCCCAAATTAGATTAATCAGCTATTGATGCATTAGCTTTGCCATCACATATCGAGGGATTAAAGTCAACTAACCGTCACCCCAAAACTCCAGATATCTGCAGCAGTGCCCCATGGAATCTCAAGATGAACCTCGGGGGCCCGAAAGAGACTTGTTCCGGTCTGCACACCATCTTTAGCGTACTCCGAATCAGTAGGGACAACACCCCCACAGTCGGCCAGTTGAACGTCTGAAAATCGACTCTCTTCATTGCCGTAATTTACGAGAATGTTGCTTGGTTTTATATCTGGAAGCAATGTCAGGACAAACACTATGTGTGGTGACACGGGATATTCTCAAACCTGTGTGAACATAGCCATCCTCATGCAACACTTGCAAGGCTTCCAGTACATTCTTCGCCACATACTTGAGCTCTGGCCTGGTAAGTCTTTGCTTCCTAGATGCCCGTGTCACGTCGTCATCAAGATACTTCAGAATTATAGCCGGGGGCTCCACTGGATCTTGGATCTCATCCAGCAGGGGTCGCAGGTTCGGGCAGCGACTCTGAAAGCGATTGAGAACGTCACGCTCATTGTGGAGGCGCCAATGGCCTTCAACACTCTTCACGACAACGGGTTTCTTTGTTGATTCCTATCGGTCACGGCTAAGTGTTCTAGATGGCTTATACCGGGCATGGCCAGCACTTACACTGCAAAGTAAACGAATTCCGAAATCTGCTGGGTTACTTTGTAGATACCTACTCTACCTTTAAGACGTTGACCCACAGAAAATAGAGCCTTGGCTGGCATTGTACATTTTCTTGAGCCGCACCAAGGGAGTAGGAGTAAGCATGGAAACCCGTGGCATTCAGAACCGTGCCAAGGTTCCGAGCAGGTTATGTAATAGGCTGGTACTGTTATTACAAGCAAACCATAAGTAAACAGAATAAGGTTGCCGGAGTTGAATTAGGCAGAAAAAGAAGAAGCATAGATCGCTGGGAGAGACCACAGATCTGAGAAGCGTTAACATGGAGGACGCATGTGCCGATAAGCCTATCCTGAGATGTTCAAGTCATGTCTCCACCCGACAGAATATACCTTCAAACGTCTGTGTATTCTTACTTCATCATTTGCCCACCTGAAATATTTCTAGCCGTCCGTGTATGAGACATAAAATAAACACCAGTAAACAAATACCGTTCCCATGAATCATTTCGCACAGTATCGCAGGGAAGGTGGTCGAATGGGCTAGGTCCAGCAAGAACGCCATCACATGTCAGTTGTTGCTCTTCGCCGATCACTGCTACTTTGTACTATTCTCTGATAAGCTGATAGACTCAGTAGGCCGCGCATTCGCAGTAACAACTCATTGTCACCCACGAATCATGCCCACTTATTCTATCTCGATCATGTCGATATTCAAAATGAGAAAGAGATCGCCACTGCTTTGGGTCAGGTACATGATGGATATGGGTGAGCCACAGGAACAATCGTCACTCTTTGGTATCAGGTACTAGTCTAAACCTATTTTGGTAACTCCCTCCACGGCCTCCCCCGGTCTCCGCGGGGACTAAACCCGATACTATCAGGTACTGATTTTGAGATTGAAGTATAAGACGAGCGATGGCTGACTGGCCTCATCAACAATCCACTTTCAATCCAAGCAATTTTCCAAGTAATATACCAATATGCCTGCTGTACAGAAGGTGAGTCTACTCTCTTGAGGTATATGATCAAGCTAACATGCCTAATCAGGCCATCATCATCGGTGCAGGTCCCGCCGGCCTGGCTGCCGCCCTCCAACTGCACCGTAACAACAATATCGCCATTACCGTATACGAGTTACGCCCGGAACCAACCACCCTAGGCGGCGCTATAGGTCTATTTCCAAATGGAATGCGCTTGGTCCATCGACTAGGGCTGCATGATGAAGTTGTCGCCCGCGGATTCTCCGTCGCCGACATGGAAATGCACTCTCTGCCAAACGGTGACATTGCCAAAGTCGACATCTCTCGCTGGGCAAGCCAGAAAACTGGCTTCGGATACTTGCGTATTCGTCGCAAAGACCTCCAGAGTGTTTTCCTTGACGCCGTCGCGAAAGACCAAATACCTGTCCACTACAACAAGCGCATTGTCTCCGTCACCGAGTCCCCAACAGATGTCACCGTGACCTTTTCCGACGGTTCAACTGATACAGCCGATATCCTGCTCGGATGCGATGGACTTCACTCTAGTGTCCGTCGACTGCATGTCGATCCGTCCATTGTGCCCGAATACTCCGGTATCGCGGGAACGCAGTCCGTCATTGACTGCACAGGCCTTCCGGAGGAGCTGAGTACGCATGCGAACGCTTTCCTCACCCGCACGGGTATTTTGGCCATGATGCCGTGCTCTCCGTCTGGCGATAAGCTCTTCTGGTTCTTCTCCCGGGAAACTCCTATCCCTCACTCGGAATCTGGCAATGCGCGAGACGGGTGGGAGGAGCGACGTCAAAAGGAGGTTGCGGAGTACAAGAACACCATTCTGAAGATCGTCGGCGAAGGCAAGGGTAAATGGCCGGAGGCATTGACGGAGATGGTGAATCGGACGGACGTCGTTGGGTTTTATCCCATCTTCCGGCTCCCGCTGGGCGGGAAGTACCATACATCTCGAACGGTGCTGCTCGGGGATGCAGCGCATGCGATGCAGCCTCATGCGGGCCAAGGAGTGTCCATGGCATTGGAGGATGTGTTCCTGCTATCGCGGTTACTGAAAGACGATCAGCGGAGCTTGGAAGAGGCATTTGCCAAATACGAGGCGATCCGCAGACCGCGCATCACGGAGATATACAATCTGGCTGCCAAGAACGGAAAGAAGCGAAAAGATGTCAGTCCGTGGGGGTTGTGGGTGAAGGAGAATATGGCTTGGGCTGCGTATGGACTATATAACCGGTTAGGGTTGGAAGCTTGGGGAATTGGTCAGAAGCACTTGGTTTATGATATTGATGAGGTGAAGATCTGATTGATTGAGACTGGAGTTTCTTTTTTTCTATTTACCTTTCTTATTGTGAATATTTTCGGAGGGGTTCGGACAGTCTACTCATTTTTTGTACCTTAATGCGGCGCTAATAGCGATGTCTCGGAAGCATTTATCGTGTTGGGAACTTCATTCACCGGGAAGCTCTATGAGTGGTCTATTTCAAGCCTAGAATATACGCACGGTGCCGGGGTATAATGTGTCGTATTATCCATGTCCTAGGGGGTGTAGATAAACAGCGCAAACACAAGCTGGCCAGGGATGAATGTAGTAGGATGTCATGTCATGCATTGACTAGAGACGAGGACAGCCCTGTTCAGTGCTCAGCCATAGTATTATGGAGCTCAACCCCCTGAAGTGGCTGTACTGTGTAAAGGGGATCGGGTTGACTACTGGTGCCCAGGATTTAGGGCGCCGTAACTAGTTCCGAACCTACTACTCATGCATTCTCAGCTCCAAAGGTAGACAGGATACGAGGAACTGATTCAAGAAGGAAGGTGAGTGAGAAACTGTTGAGAGTTTAGCAGTAGTATCTAGTCAGTAGTTAGCGATTATCCAGTGGATCCTAAATGGAGTGCATTTTTGTGTGTGTAAGTTTGATCAACAACGGGTTTGACTGGGTCAGGGCAAGAGAGAAAAAAAAATAATAATAAATAAAAAAGAAACATCCCACCATCTCCTCCACCACGAGGATGACTGGGGAAAATAGAAACAGAAAAAGGAAAAGAAAAATTGAAAACGGGAAACCGGACTTGCCCATTCATCGGCATCCCCTCCCTGCCAGAGCATCCGGGGGGCTATAAATATACTAACTGCCATGAAATGGATCAATGGTCCAATGGTAAAGCAGCAGTGCCAGGCCCCTTGGTCCCGGCGTGATCCCCCTCTCTTTTCTGGACCAACGCGCTCTTTCTCTCTCTCTCCACCCTCATAATAGTAACAGCGACTATCGCGAAATAAACCACCGTCTAGCCTGCAACGTCTGAGACAAATCTCTAACCTTAGTAACAAGCGGCCGTGCGGTGACGATTCTTCAGCTGGGCCATCACTGGGTCGATCCCTCCTTCTCTTTGATTACTATGGGGGAAGTCGTTTAGCTGCCAGTGGGATTGGTTGGTTGAGCTGTGATGCTGGGCGTCCATTTTGATGCTATTTGTGCCCATTCGGTCAGCGTGGTGGGAGGCCGTACTGATTCATGTATATATATGGAGTGAGATGCCTGGATTGTGAGGGTACAAGGATGCATCTATTCTAATTCCTAATACTCCTTCATATTATCATCATTATCATAATCATCAATTACCAGCTTCCTTCCTCCCTGCCTCGTCATCTCTTCTATATCAAGTGCTGTTATAGTGAAGCTAAGTTACTACTCAAGTTACTTCCCGTCGACTTAACCACGGTTGAGTATTTATTTGTATTTGAAGGTGCGTATCCGTTTTATTTCCCACCCCCCAAATCTTTCAATTCTTTTCTCGTTTCTTTCCCTTCCGGATCAGCGTCAGCCTCAACGCTCGACCGCCTTCCCGAAGGAACGAGACAAGTCTTTTGCTGGGCCCCCCAAATCCACTTCTCCCAGATTATCATCCATCCATTCATTCCCCCGGCAAAGCTATCCACCCCCTCCCCATTTTCCCTGGCTTCCTCCTCATTCTTGTATTCTTTAATTTTTAGGGGGAGGGGCTTCATCAACTATTTCCCAAATTTCTCCCCTCCTTCCCACAAATCGCATTTCCCAAAAAAACTTCCCACCGAATTCCTCTTACCTTATCCTTGACCATTGTCCCGACCGCAGTTCTGGCCAGCCTTGCCCTGCTGCTGCCTGATTCTTATTCCGTTCCGGGTTCCGCCAGGGCTCGTCAGCGCCCTCGCATTGCCTCGACCCATTCGTGCATTCTCGCTTCATCAATTCAGGGATCCGTGATCCCCAGCCGGTTGTGAAAAAATGGCTCAACAACAGACTGATAATGTGATGCGAAGGTATGTTCCCGCCCTGTTGTCGTTCCTGGCTTCCGGTGTGCACCTGAGGCCATCATGTTATCTACTGCCGATTTCTGGTTCCCGTTATCAGCCCACCCGCTGTCACTCGACCGGATTGCTCGTATAGAGGGGGTGCGGGGGTGCAGCCAGTCCCAATGCATCATCCATGCCATGAACGAATGGGGCATTGAGCTGACCTGCATGTAGGAAGTTGGTGATCATCGGGGATGGTGCCTGCGGAAAGACCAGTCTGCTCAGCGTCTTCACCCTGGGCTATTTTCCAACCGTAAGTCAACCCTCTTCTCCAATGCGCTGATCGATGGAGTTTCATTGGCTAACCGGTTTCTGATCTGTAGCACTATGTTCGTACCTATCACCTCCTTCGCTGACTACTTAGCATGCATCTGACTGTCGCGTGTCAACCAGGTTCCGACGGTGTTTGAGAATTACGTGACGGATTGCAGAGTGGATGGCCGTTCGGTTCAATTGGCACTATGGGATACTGCTGGTCAGGAAGATTACGAACGATTGCGTCCGCTCGCTTATTCCAAGGCGCATGTGATCCTTATTGGGTTCTCCGTGGACACGCCCGATTCGCTGGAGAACGTCAAACATAAGGTTGTCTGACCATTCCGTTACTGTTGGACTGCGCTGACTGGTTCTTGTAGTGGATTGAAGAAGCGAACGAACGATGTCCGGGTGTCCCTATCATCCTTGTCGGGTTGAAGAAAGATCTGCGGGAAGATCCACTGGCCGTCGAGGAGATGAGAAAGAAGTCGCTAAAGTTCGTGACGTCGAAAGAAGGAAGCGACATCTCAACGCAGATCGGAGCACGCAAGTATCTCGAGTGTTCCTCATTAACCGGCGAGGGCGTCGACGATGTATTCGAGGCGGCCACGCGTGCCGCGCTCCTGACGTTCGACAAGCGAAAAAGCTCATGCTGCATTGTGCTATAATGGGGAAATGACGACTTTGCGATAGATACGTCGCCGACTCTGATGGTATTTCAGCGATTTGCATGCCAGCCATGATGGGTTCATTTGCTATGCGCTTCGAGCATGTTGCACTTGCAGTTGCCGCGCGACACGCGTGCGCCAGTTTGAATTGGATTTCGAAGAAAAGGGAGAGTGAAGGTGACGGATGTTGATCGATATATCTTGCATTTGCGGCGTTTGGGAGGGCCTCTTCTTTTGTGTTCGAATATCAAGTTTCGCATGTTGACATACCCTTGGTCTCCGGGGGGACACGCTTGGTGACATTCGTTCATTTGGTGTTTGCCTTCTTCAGTGTCTTCTTTGCCTGTTGTCAAGTGTTGTTTGCCTTCTTCTGTGTCTTACTGTCACTAGCGGTTATACCTGTATTGAAATTGTACCCACCAGTCTATGCTACACTTTACACAGTAGACACGGTAGACACAGTAGACACAGTAGACACGCAGTACCTACACAATAGACTGACCGAGAACAACCCATAATATAGTAACATATTATACAAACAGATAGACAGAAACATACATGACAATAGTAATATAACAAAACCTCAACTAACCCCCTCTATTCTCTATCCCATTCCCATCCCCAATCCCCCTTCTCCACCATCACATTTCTCCTTTCTCCTTCGTAGAAATCCCCCCCTCCTCCTCCGGAAGAGAAAAACATCATCTAATCCCTCTTCCACTCATGATTCCACCCCTCCCTAGCCGGCCCATCCGTCTGCAACCGGGCATACTCAATAGGGACCAAATCCCTAAACACACCCGTCTTAATCATACTCTTACGGAACAATTTCCCGCCATCGCCCGCACCAGTACGCAGTTCCTCGCACGCGGCCTGCATCGCCTGCCACTGTCTCTGCAGCTCCAGCTCGTGCTTCCGCCGCTGCTGACCCTGGTAGAGGTTCCATGCCCGGTGGATCGTCCAGTGTCGGAGGAAGCGGGTGCGAGAGAAGCGCAATGGGCGGGGAGTGAGGGGGTGGTGGAGGAAGTAGCGGATCAATGCTATTATTTTGAAGATGTGGTTAGTAGGTGGGTTGGAATTGGGGGGTGGGATTGGGGTTGGGATTGGAAGGGGGGTACGGACTGATTCTGCGGTCGCCGCGGAAGCCGGACTCCTTTCGCTTTTGGAGCGTGGTGGTTGTGCTGAATTGGTTGGTTTGGGACTGAGGCTGGAATTGGGATTGGGTTTGGCGGAGAGTGTTGGTGATGGTGCTGCTGGTGAGGGTTGGGCGGGTCATGGGGATGCGGAAAACGGATGCCAAGGAGGCGAGGACGGGGGAGAGGGTGCGCATTTTGATTCCTTTTCCTGGTTCTTCTCTCCGGTGATTTCTGGGTTGGGTGTTGGGTCGGGGGTGGTGGTGGTGGTGTTCTGAGAATGTTCGGAAGACAGACACTGCGCGCCGGAGCGGAAGTTTAGGTGGATTTAGTTGGGTTTGACTTACTGGGTTAGCCTGGTTGGCTTGCCTGGTCGGTTGGTTATCTGCCGCGCGCTAAGTAAGCGCCGTTTGCTGCCTTTTTTGTATTCCGTGTATACTACAATCGATTCGCAGGATTACTTTGTATAAATGCTTAAAATTACTATTATTCATACGATTCATTCGAAGGAAAAGGTATATATTCACACTTTTACCAAGGCATCTGCATCGCTCGTCATCAATTGCAAAGAGCTCAAAACCAGCAAAGAGTGTATCTCAATCCATCAGCCTAAACGCCAGAAATGCTTCCATCATCTCTCTCACTATCGATCAGCCTTCCCAGCCCGCTTCTTCGATCGATCGTAGTTCAACACCTTGCGGCGTCGGTGCGTCTGCGCCAATTTCCACCGACAATATAACACCAGCGCATCCTTCAACAGCACGAATGCACATCCTCCGACGACACTCCGGCCCCAGCGGGTCTGCAGCAGCCCTGGTCGGACTTTGCCCAACGTAGATGGCGTCGTCCATGAAGTAGGTAAAATGTACTTCAACAGCCCGCCCATCGACGCAGATATGGCGGGAAACGCAAGTGCTCCGAGGATGATATCCGCCAGACTACTTGTGTCGGCTACCAGCTCATCCCGTCGACCCAAGCCCAATGGCTGGCCGTTTCCACCCTGGTTCTGCCCTTGTCCACCCTGCGCATTTCCTCCATTAAAGCCAAACAAGCCCTGCGGCCCATCCTCATTGCCCATGCGTAGCTCCAAATCTATCTCCATCAGGACGCCATTATCATCGTTAGGTGGGTCTGGCTCGGGATGTTCGGGCGGCGCATTATCGTCAAACTCATTGACATCCGAGCGCGGTTGTACTTCTGCAATCCATCTCCGCTCCAACTTGCCAAACATTCTCTCATAGACGCTGCCGTAAAAGCTTTTTAGGTATGGAAGAGCGGCGAACGTCACTGCCGCACTGGGCGGCCAAAGATTCAACTCCAGCTCCTGTCCCGGTTGATGTGTGGCAAAGAACATCACGGGGATGGCAGGAAGAAGACCATCTGCGTACCGGGTGCGCGAGAAGATCAACACGAGCGGGATGAGGGGCAACCCCAGGTTAAGCCCCGAATTCCATGCCCCATCAGCTGTTTCCTCCAAGATCTGGCGTGCCTCGTCTGTCCCGAAGACAAAATACATCGAATATACTCCATGCGCACAGCACCCCGCCCACACGGTTGCTCCTAACGTGAAAACCATTCCTGGGAGGACCATCCGACCCGCGAGGCGCTCAACCAGTCTTACTATATCCACAATATAGCTTCGGGGACGAGAAACGATGATTTCGGTCTTGCATTGCGGACACAGCATCTTTGCGTCGTGGCCGTTGCGCCTCCGCGATCGGGGATTCTCGAGATCCGCCAACCAGTCAAGCAGGCAGGCTTCATGGGCGGTCAAGGCGCATGGACATGGCGAGCGCCATTGTGAGTTAAGGGGAGAGTCCTCTGTCTCATCTGTATAGCAAATCCAACATCTGCGTGGTTCCTCACCAGACGTATCGGCGAGAGTCGGACTTGTCGGGGAGCCATGGGCGGTGGCGGTATCCGAGGTGCCGTTGAGCAGGACGGTATCGCTAGCTTCAAACAATTCTGTCGATGAAGCGCTGCTGGTTATATTCGTGGATAGGCTATTCTGTTGGGTAGTGGAGGTAGTATTATTATCAGATGACTGTGGCCGGCTAGAGGCCGAATAACCTGGGAGGGAGGCCATGATGTTGGAGACACAAGAGGGGTGGATACAACAGTAGTAGAGAAGTGGACGGGGAATTACGGAAACAAGCACTGCATCATGGGTGGAGAGGGAGGTTAGTCAAGTTGCGTCAGTCACCAGATGGTGGGAGAGAGAAAGAAAGAGAACTGGAGGCGAGAACGGAGGGGAGTGAGTAGAGAGTTGAGAGTCACAGCCCTATTAGGCAGCTCCGACATCTGCACTCTGCCCCAGCAGAAGCAGCAGAGCAGAAGCAAATAACTCAGTCAGTCAGCAACCAAGTCCGACGGTGTCTCAGTCGAGTCTTAATTAGTGAGATACTCCGTACTACTTTTCCCACTTCCCAGCCCCCCGCTAGTGACCTTCGGATGTGAACCGCGGCTGTTCGGCGGCGAAACATAAAGGCGCGCATTCCGCGGACCCCAATTGTTCGACCCTCACGTGATGCCGAGACTGATCACCTCACTTTGCGCCATCATGGCGGATGCAGCAATCTGGATGACTTGTAGATAGTAGATAAACTAGCTGCTCACTAGCCACTTAGGATAATCTACGTCGCTGCTCCAGTCAGCACTAATTATCGCGTCATCCAGGAACACTCATCCCTTTTCAATGCCTCATGATAGTATTTCCAAGGTCATACAAAAGATTACAGCAACATAAGGATTATATACAGCTGGATTTCCCACAACAACATTTGAGGCAACTTTTGCGCGCAAGCCATAATGCAAACGGTGAAAATGGAAAAAGCAATAAAAGGGAAAGGAGGTCCAAGCCCAGCCAGAGGTCTTTTCAGCTCAGGACCCCAGTACAGGACCGAGTGGAGCTACTATAGCATGCTCTCCACGGTCCTGCACCATGCTACTTCAGGGTTCTCTGGTTAAAGTAGACCGCTGCAGCTTGTCTCCGGGGCGCAGACCGGCACCCGCTAGCGTTTTAGAACCTGCCAGAAACGCCATGGATATCAAGAGATCAGGAATGGGTGGGCACTTTTGCAGCTTTCAAATAACAGGCATGGCAACTCATCGCTAGCATCCGCGGCTCACTTAGAAACCGGGAACTTTCCGCTTCTTCATCAGAGCCTTGCGCTCCTTCTCCTTGGCTGTATTGCAAGGATTATATTAGCATTCATTCACTCAATCCGAACAATCAGTGTGCATACCTTCGTCATAAACAAGGAATTCGTGCAGGGCACAGCCAGCGGGCACCATGGGGAGCACAGGCACCTTGCGATCAGTGAACACTTCCAGAAGGGCAGGGCCGTCCTGCTCGATCAGCCACTTCAGCTTCTCCTCAACCTCCGAGGGCTTGGTGCAGCGGTCCGCGGCAACACCCATGGCCTGGGCCATCGGGACAAAGTCGGGGTTCTTCTGGTGAGTGTGCGAGTAGCGGTCCTCGTAGAACAGGTTCTGCCATTGCGTCACCATACCCTGTTCCTCGTTGTTCAGGAGGAGAACCTTGACACCAATGTTGAACTGAGCAGCAGTGGTGAGCTCGGTCAGGGTCATGTTGAACGAGGCATCACCGTCGATATCGACGACAAGAGCGTCAGGGCGAGCAACCTTGGCACCGATAGCAGCGGGGAGACCGTATCCCATAGTTCCAAGACCACCAGAGGTGATCATGGTACGGGGGTGGCGCCAGCGGAAGTGCTGAGCAGCCCACATCTGGTGCTGACCGACACCGGTAGTGATGACAGTACGGTCCTTCATGTGAGCAGTGAGATCGCTGAGTTTCTCAATGACAGCCTGGGGCTTGATGGGTCCCTCAGCAGTCTCCCTCTCATAGAGGGAGAAGGGGAACCGAGCCTTCCAGTCGTTGATCTGGTCGAACCACTCCTTACGCTCAGCAACAGCCTCGACGTGGGGCAGGAGGAGACGGATGTTCTCAGCACAGTCACCCTCAACAGCCTCGTTGGCCTGGACAACCTTGTTGATGTTCTTGGGCATGATTTCGAAGTGGACGATGCCACCACGGTTCTCCGAGGCAGCAAGCTTGGCCTGAGGGGCGAACTTGGAGATGTTACCGGTCACACGGTCATCGAAGCGAGCACCGATAGCGATGATGAGATCAGCCTCCTGCATGGCCATGTTGGCATAGGCAGATCCGTGCATGCCCAGCATGTGCAGGGCCTTGGGGTCCGTCTCGTCAAATCCACCCAGACCCTGGAGGGTCGTGGTGACCGGAATGCAAGCCTTGTCGGCCAGCTCCTTCAAGATCTGGGGGCCATCGGGGCGAGCAAGGAGACCCTGACCCACATACAGGATGGGCTTCTTGGAGATGTTCACAAGGCGAGCCACACGGTTGATGGTACCCTTGAGCTGCTGCATGCTCAGTTCACGGGCAGCCATGGTCGCAGCGCTGGGGAGGGAGGGCAGGGTGCTGTTCATCGGGATGGGTTTACGGAGGATACCGGCGGTGATATCCTTGGGCAGATCGACGAGGACAGGTCCGGGGCGGCCGCTGGTGGCGATTTCGAAAGCCTCCTGGATGCGACGGGGGAGTTCAGCGACGGACTTGACCATGACGTTCCACTTGGTGCAAGCACGGGAGATACCGATAACATCGGCTTCCTGGAAAGAGTCGGTACCGATCAGGCTGGTGGGCACCTGACCGCAGAAGACGACCATGGGAGTACCGTCCGAAAGGGCATCCTGCATGGGGGTGATAACGTTGGTGGCTCCAGGGCCGGAGGTGACGAGGACGACACCGGGCTTTCCAGAGGCACGGGCGTAGCCTTCGGCCATGTGTCCGGCGCCCTGTTCATGTCTCGGGAGGACGAAGTCGAAGTGTTTGGAGTTGTAGATGGCATCGAAAACGGGAAGAATGGCACCTCCAGGGTAACCGACTAAAAGTGGTGGGTCAACCTTATGGTCTTGAAGGATATCGGGAATCCGAAGAAAAAAAGACGCGTGACTCACAGACATGCTTGACGCCAAGACGCAGCATCATCTCATGGAAGATCTCTCCTCCACTGAGTCCGACAAAACTGTTTACGCTCCAAGGACCAGGTCAGCTCTACTCCCATAATCATCTTAAATTGTTGAGGGGACTGCATACGAGTCGTCCAGTTCGGGGACCTGGCGGTTTTGCAGTGGCGAGACCTCATTGCGGTGAGGTTCCTGGTTGAAGGCAGGGCTGGGGATCGGTCTCGTGTTTCTGGTAATTCACAGGCATGTTAGCAACAGTAATTGACATCCCAGTAGCCAGCTGGATGCTAGTTGTAGATAATACTCACTCAGCCGGGGCACTTGCGGTGCTCTGGAATCTCTTCTGAGCTGAAAAGCGGTGGGGCGCGGTCGCAGCGACGGAAGCAGTAGTAAAACTCATTCTGCCAGAGGCAATGTACCTCTGGTAATGCAGAGCGCGCATGGCGCTTTTCGAAGGTCTCATAGGCATCATCTTGATGGCGGATGACTGCCAGGCCTGGGAACAGAGAAAGGGGAGTGCTCACAACGGGGAAAAAGAACGGGACCAGGAAGAGTGAGTAAGAGATCCGTTCCTTAAGGCAGGAGCGAAGACTCAGACTTCGGGGACGGTTATGGTTGCATTCTAGCCTGTCCAGGTCTAGCGCCGTTGGAGTCGAATAATCTGGGTTTTCCCATTGGCTACGGATACCCCACTGCTCCGATCATCGGCCCTCTTGGACGCGAAAGCGGTCACCTGATTGGGATGCAAGCCTCTCGTTTTGTCCTGACTTCCCCAGAGCAACGCCTTGCAAGATCGCAATAATACAGGCGAGGGATGTTGATGATAGAAGTTGACGTTGCACAACCACGTATTCTTATTTTTCAGTAATTGTCATGGTGCGGCCTTTTGTCAAGGTTCCAACTGCTATACGAGCTTAGACTCAACTAGCCTGATCCACTGCTGACATACTTGTAGTCCTCATAGCAACCAAGAGACAGAGAAAATTAACTACAACCCGCAGAGTACATCATATAGTAACTAGGGCTTCTACAGTTTCTATTTGAACTATAACCCCTTCAATCTGTGGTATTCACAAACTTTCGGATTTTCTACATATACTCCTACCGCGGGTGCCGGTCCGAATACGGCTCGCTAATGCATCTCCATCACATGCAGGTAACCGGCATGAAAAAGAAAGCAAGTATTGTATGACTCTACCCCAGTTACGATTTACTGGTGCAGTAATTCTCCGTGGAGGGGTTGTCTATCGACTCTGAAGATGACTCACTCAGAACATTGGTCAGCGATACCTGAACAATGCCCCCAATTTTCAAGGTCTAGGAACATGGTACCTTGGCCTTTGCACTTCCCTCATATTCATGAAGCTGGACCGAGCTCGGCTGAGCATACATAGGCTGCCTGCAGATTACTTGTTCGGCCTTGCGTCAAATATGCAGAGTTTCTGCCGCAATGGGAACTTGAGTATCCCATCCAGTTTACTCTACCAGACGGAGTACATGTTTATCTCGTGACCTAAATAATGAGCCGTTGTGGTCCGAATGGTGTAGTCAGTCCTTCCGTATAAGGTAAGAACCAGAGAGGATATAATGTTGTATCGCCTCACATGAGTTGCGCATGAAAAATTCTCCGCGGGCTTTTTGTCCCTTCCCGGGTTACTAGAAGTAGGCGCATAGGTTCTGCTGGAATGAGCTCTTCCGAGATCGGGACCACCCGACCTTTGTGAAGTAACTCTTGAAGGTTACGGGATGAGCTCATATACCGAACAGAAACCCTTTCTTTTCTGGAAAAGTCTTTGAATTTCAAGATATAAATTCTCCAGTTTCTTGATAACGATCGGAATGTGATGTTGTTACCCCACAATTTCCATCCAATACTAGTCAGTCTTGACTCGATCGGGCGAGGAAGCTAGCAATAGTTAACTGGGCCTGAACACCAATACCTGACTAAGAGCAGTATAGATTAATTAAATTGTCTTTTGATTAGGGTGTACCAATTGGCTGGTGGTGGTTGACCTCTCTAAATTATACACACGGCCGTGCGATTTGCAACGGTTGGCATCCACTCGGCCGTCCAGAAGCCGAGGCCACCTGGGTTCGGCTAAATTGGGTGTCTTGCGGGATTATAGGGAAGAGGATGCTTTACACGGTGTCGATTGGCTGGCACCTGTCGAATCCATTAACAATGAGGTAGTGAAAATGAGATAGAAGTGTGATGAGGATTCAACGGAAACAAAGATACAACGGCTCGCCGTCGACACAATAGCAGAAGGGTATCCCGACCGAGCTGGGGGGACCCCAGGGCCATGCCGAATCAGCCGAAACACACGGGGAATCGGTTGAAAAGGACTGGAGAAGCGAGTCGGAGAGCCGTCCAGCGACTCCAGCGAGCGAGTGTCATTTCCGGGCAACTCCACTCTTTCCCCGGCCTTCAAGCAATCACACCTCCAGAACTATCCCGCCCGTGACCAGCCTGTTATGCTCAATCCGGAACCGATCAGGGTCTCTGCGGAGCACCACCACCTCGAATTTTTCCCTCCTATCCTGGCGATTCAGGGACGCTGACGTTTTAGCCGGTATTAATCTATTTGTCTTACTTTCTGCTTTTCTCCTTTTCGCTCTTCGTTTCTTTTCTTTTCTTGCTTCTTCTCATCATCTTCCATATCCCGCTCCCCTCGTGTGATCTGCTATTTTTCTTTTTCCTCCCATTTCTACCCCGCCATGGCAACCCCGCAGGAACTCGTCCCCCAGACAGAGTCCATCGCTGAGGTCTACGCAACTGACGATGCCTCCGTCACTTCAGTTGCGCCTCACCATCAGTCTCGGTTTAACAACCTGGTCTCCCAGTTCACCAAGGTTTACAGCCATCGTCCCGATTTCGTGGCCCGCAGTCCCGGTCGCGTGAACATCATTGGTGAGCACATCGACTACAACCTTTATGATGTCCTCCCTACAGCAGTAAGCGTGGACGTGATCATTGCTGTAAAGGTCGTCCCTGCGACTGGCTCCGACTCTGTTGTAAAGATTGCCAATGTCAACCCGGAGAAGTTCCCTACCCGCGAGTTTGTCGTGCCTCGTGACACGGACATTGAAATCGACCCTAAGAAGCATGAGTGGGTTAACTACTTCAAGGCGGGACTCCTGGGCGCCCTGAAGTTTTTGCGCAAGCAGAATGCAGATGGCTCCTTTGTGCCTGCTAGTATGGAGGTTCTCCTGGACGGTAATGTACCTCCGGGTGGTGGTATCTCTAGCAGTGCGGCTTTCGTATGCGCCAGTGCCTTGGCTGTCATGAAGGCCAACAACCATGATGTCTCGAAGCAGGATCTTCTTGATTTGGCAGTAGTGTCTGAGCGTGCAGTTGGCGTCTACTCCGGAGGGTATGTTACCACTGACCACTCCATTCCACCATTCGATGCTAAACTCTACTGCTTACTAGCATGGACCAAGCCGCCTCCATCTTCTCTCGCCGAGGATACCTCCTGTACACCCAATTCTTCCCTAACTTCTCCGTTCAGCACGTTCCCATTCCAAAGGCCGATGAGGAAATCACTTTCCTTATGGCCCAGAGCTTCGTCACCTCCAACAAGGCCGAGACCGCTCCCCGTCACTACAACCTCCGTGTCGCTGAGTGCACGCTCGCCGCCGTGGTCCTGGCTGCCCGGAACGGCTTGACCCTCCCCAAGGACAACAGCTCTCTCGGCTTCAGTCTCCGTAACTTCCACAACGAGTTGATGCGCAAAGAGGGCCGTCTCGGCGACCCCCTGGAGTACCAGATTGACTCCGTCATCCAGAGCACTCTGGAGCTTCTGACGCAAGAGGAAGGATACACTCGCGAGGAGATCGCCAAGCTTCTCGGCATCACTGTCCCCGAACTCGAAGCCAAGTACCTTTCTTCTTTCCCCGTTCAAGCAGAGCGTTTCCTCCTTCGTCAACGCGCCCTGCACTGCTTCACCGAGGCCCGCCGAGTCTTGGACTTCAAGGCATGCCTCGCGAAGGCGAGCACCCTCGATGAAAGACGCATCCAGTACCTGGGTCAGCTCTTGAACGAGTCCCAGGCTTCTTGCCGCACCCAGTACGACTGCAGTGCACCGGAGGTGGATGAGATCTGCGATATCGCTCGTCGGGCGGGAACCCTGGGTAGCAGACTGACCGGTGCCGGATGGGGTGGTTGCACCGTCCACATGCTGCCCCAGTCCAAGGTCGAAGCTGTTACCAAGGCCTTGAAGGAGGAATACTACCTGAAGCACTTCCCTGATATCAGCGAGGAGAAATTGGCTGAAGCCATGGTCATTAGCAAGCCGTCTAACGGATCGTTCATGTATGTCCCCTACCCTAGGTTCTTCTCTCACTTGTGGAACGATACTAATGTAATTGACAGGGTCACGGGCGCAGCTATTGCCCAGGTTGAAGTTTAGGGGTAGTGTGGTATTATTCTCTTTTTGAAGTAGTGCGTCATATGGTTGGCATCATGAAGTTGGATCATTCAGCGTTGGCTTTTATTTCCCTTGCAGATTGCAAACTCAATCGCGACCCTTTGTGTCCAATTGGAATTTCCAAGCACTTGTGTATATCGTGTGAGAGTCTATGTACAAATGGGATTATCTTTGTGACGGGATCATCATTTTGGAATATTCCCTGCTTAGAGACAGCAGCACTGATGAGTGTCTGCAAGTTTCTGTCCCAATAGCAGGATATGTCGCAACCAGAAAGCCAGATCACTACTCCCAGGGCTCGAGGGTAACGGAATGCCCCAGGATTCTATGCATCCTGCTGGAGTACGGACCTTTACAGTCCTGATAGCGTCTTCTCAAGACTCCAAAGTGCGCCATCACTCGGAGCAATGTTAGACCATGTATTCGCAACATAACCAAAACCCCCAACTCTCAAGCCTTCTTCGCAGCCGCCTTTCCAAAGAAATCACTCATCTTCTTCATTCCCGTCGTATTAACCTTCTTCAAATCCCGAACTCCCCTCGACTCATTCGCCTTCTTCTTCTTTTCCTCTTCCTCCATCCTGCGCTTCTTCTCCGCTCTCGACTCCGCAGCCTCCTGATCCTCCACGCTCCTCTTCCGAGAGAAATCACCCAGCGACCTCGACGCCAGCGCCTCCGCCCTCAGCTTCGCCACAAGGTCCAAATGATCCCGCATCGGCTTGAAATCCCTCGGACTCTCCGGCGCAGCTAGTAACTCATCTATCCGCGCGCTCATCTCCTTGGATAGATAGCATTCTTTCATGAATGATAACGCCACAGATATCCGTAGGAGGTTGGCTACTCCTTCAGGAACCTTTACGCCTTCGGGGAGATCCTCCTTTGCATCTTCGTTATTTGTGGTGGTCTTCTCATCCGTTCCCTTCTCCTCGCTCTTATCTTCGCCCTCATTCTCCTTATTCTCCCCCGTAGCCGCCACATCATCCCTCTTCACTGTCATCAATGGCGTCGCTAGCGCCTGTCTCACAAACCTCTCCTCAAGACTCGGAGGCAACCCCGCACTAACCATCCTATCCGCCTTCGCGACAAGCTCCTGGAGTAGTTTCGTCTCGTTAAACCGGAACAACTTCTCATCGCCCGCTTCAACGGAGTCGCTAATCGCAGCGGCGCGGGCGTGCAGTGTCCCGCGGAAGGTTTCGTCGTATAGCACATGGCGGAGGTGAGGTGGGAGGAGCTCCTCGTCCAGCGAGTCGATGATGTCGTCTAGGGGTTGGAAGAGGTTGTTTTGTTTGGTGTTTGCGGTGAGGATGGGGATGAGGAAGAAGAGGATGTCGATGGGGGTGGCGAGGAGGAGTTCGGCTTTCTTGGAGATGTGCGCTGGCGGTTGGGGTGTGGATGAGGAGGAATCAAGGTTGCGCACGAGTAGGGTGCTTCGGGGCGCGGAGGGAGATGAGAGGACGGTGAATTCGTATACGCCGAGTTTGGGATCGAAGAAGTAGCGGGTTGGTTCGGCGCTTCGCGGGTTGGGGAGGGTGAGGAAGCGTGCGTCGGCGCTGGCGGTGGAGGGGAGAATGAATGTTTTCTTGGGGGTGGATTGTGCTGGCGGTGCTGATGTTGATGCTGCTGCTGTTGTTTGGTGATCGGAGGTGGATGGAGGGGATTGAGGTTGCTCCGATGGAGCGCTTGAGCGGGTTCGCATTGTGATGATGCGATGTGTGTAAGGTAGTATACGAGGGGGTTATATGAAGTGTACAGGTGTTATGGGCGTTTCATTAGCAGCAATTGAGGTTCGAAATTTGGATATGAAGATAGCGAAATGGAAATATTGACGGATAGTCCGAAGGGGGAAAGACAAGTAATAATGGTAATTGAAACGCGTCTTTTTCACTGGTTCAACGCGACACGCGCTAACCAATCATCGGCCGTTGCGACACAAGTCAGCGGGCAGGCATGCATGGGCCTCAGGCCGCGGGCGAGAAAGGAAACTAAAGGCGGATTGGTTGCAGCTCACTTTCATTCCCTTGCGTTTCATTTCATGCAGGCCTGCCGGTTCCTGCTCCCCCTTTCTTTTCTTCGTCAGAGTCTTGAATCCGTCAGGTGGCCGAGGTAGTTGTTGCTTTGCTGCTCCTGTCCTCCGAACCCCAGAGCCCCAGTTTCGAGAAGACGCCATTCCCCGCATCCCTTCGTTGAGTGAATATGGCAGGAAGGGTAGCACGATAGATAGAAGACGATAAGCGGGATCGGAATTCAATCTGCATTTTTTCTTTTCACAACCGGAAATACTCTATAATTGACACCGTGGATGCGATGACAAGCAGTGAGTGAGTGCCTTGTGTTTCTGTTCAGCTCGACCTTCTTTCCGTGCGCTGACGCGCTGCTTCTGTTGCAGTGGCCGAGATCTCGTGGCCGCCAAAGTCCCCTCGGGATGCCCTCTTGAGCACTCCGAATGGTCGCAAGAGGTATGAAGAACTGCAGCGACGTCGCGAACACCTGGGCTCGCCTTTGAAACACTCTGTCACTACTCCCGACTTACGATCCAAGGCGTCACAGCTTCTAAGCGACGGGGTGGACGAGGGTGAAGATGACGAGGATGAGGAAACACTACAGTTGAAGCTCGCGGCCATTGAGGCGCGTCTTAAGCTCAAGCAACTTCAGAAAAGCCGCACGAAGACGGGGACACCTGGTCCAGAGAGGCACGACGGGGAGACTTTCTCTAGACCTGCGTCAGCCCTTGGGTCTTTCCAAGGACATGATGAGCCGTTAGGGACAAGAAGTCATGGTCATGTGACGGATAGCAATGCTCATATCGATGATGTCCAGGTGCCGCTATCGCCGACGAGGCGTGCTGCTCCTCCCACGGATCCTGTGTCCCCGCGGAGGTATTTGTTAGGCATTGACAAAGGCCTCAGAAGTAGGGATGTGTCGCTGAAGCGTCCGCCAAGTTCAAAGGGAGCTGCTCAGCCAGCAAGTAGACCTGGGACGCGAGATGGTCTAGTCTCTCGTTCTGGCAGTCTTCTGCAAGCAATAACCGTGGGTGGGGAGCGCAACCGTCCAAAGAGCTTCAGTGAACGTATGGCTGAGAGCCGGTCTGCCGATGCGTCTCGGAGAGAACGAGCAGCACGAATGGAGAGAATTCAGGCAAATCGAAGCTCTGCCTTCCAGATCGATAAAGCGGAAGTGGAGGCCTTCAAAGCAGCTGCCGAGTCAAGGAAGGACGTCCCAGCTTCGCCAACGAGGAGGCGTCGAGCCGAAAGCTTCAGTCGAGAAGACGTCCTTCGGTCATATAATCTGAAGCCGTCGCTGAAAAGGGGCCGGAGCCAGACCACGTCTAGCGTGCAGAGATCTGATGATGGCGTGGCTGATGCGAAGGATTCACTGCCATATTTTCACCGACGGAACCACAAGTCTGAGTCCGAGGTGCCTGCCAGCTCTCAGAACAGTGCGACCGATGATTCTCAGGGCGAGAAAAGTGGTGACTCCTCAAAGTTTGAAGCATTCTCTTCCTTGCACTTGTCCAACCGCATCCTACCCCATTCGTTCTTGTCTCGAACCCTGGAAGACAAGAAAGCTCTTAAGATTCCTGATCTCTTACGCACAGTGAAGGCGCCTGACTTTGAACTGCCAGAGGAAATTGACACAGACTATGTTGTATTCGGTATAGTAGCATCGAAATCAGAGCCCAGGCAAATCAAGCAACCGGCCAACACTACTAAGAAGGAGGTTGATCCATTTGACGATGGAACTAATAACACCAACCAATACATGGTCATTACTCTGACAGATTTGAAATGGACTATTGATCTCTTCCTTTTCGACACTGCCTTTCCACGATACTACAGAATCTCCGAAGGAATACTCATTGCCATTCTGAACCCCACAATCATGCCACCGCCCAAGAACAAGACAGACACCAACAGGTTCAGTCTCGCCATTTCCTCATCTGATGACAAGATCCTAGAGGTCGGCTATGCGCAAGACATCGGATTCTGTAAGGCCGTTAGGAAGGATGGCAAGACCTGCCACTCATGGGTTGATGGCCGGAAGACTGAATTCTGCGACTTTCATGTCGACCTACAGGTCCGTCGAACACAAGCAGGTCGAATGGGAGTAAATGGCGGCACGGGCATGTATGGACCTGGTGGCCGCTCAGGGTCTCGAACCGGTTTCTACGGCGGAGACAAGAAAGTTCGCCCCCAGAATGGACTGAAGCCAAATGGCGCAAGATACGACTATCAATCACAATCGTCCTATTACGTTGCACCGGCTCCAAAAACCAGGGGCGGCGGACCCTCCTTCCACCCTCACCCGTCTGGCCAGTCTGCCGCAGCCCTAATCGATGCAGATCACGACGACCCTTTCATCGCCGCCGGAATGATGGGCCGTGGCATGGAAAGCAAAGAAGAGCGCTTCCGCCGACGACTCGCAGAGAAGAAACGCGAACGCGACATCGCAGAGAGGCTGATCTCCCGTTCCGGGGGTGTAGGCGCCGAATATCTCCGATCACGAGATAACAACAACGTCCAATCACCCCATCCCGAGCAGGCAAAGAACAACTTAGATGAATTTTCCACCACCAATCTGGGCATCTCAAACTTTAGAAAGGCAGACAGTGTGAAGCTGAGCCCTCTGAAACGCGCTCATGACGGCGACAGACCCCACGGCAGCGGTGTCAAGAAGACCCGGTTCATAACTTCCCATGGCATCAAGGAAGCCGGAAGAGACAGTCTAGGAGGAAAACCCGACATGGTGCCAACGAACAATGATGATGACGACGACGATGAACTAGACATCATCTAGAGAAAAAACAGCTTTTTTTTCTTTCAATGTTATGAAAACAAAATATAGATACCCTTCGTTACCTGCAACGCAGTTGACCCCCGTCCTTCTACGGCGAATATTCCATTGAAATATCAGTCATTCCAGTGTCACTCACCAGCAAATACACACGCTCGCTAGTCCGATTAAACATAAACAGCAGAAAAAGAACATGTTCGACTACTCCTATTTGACACCAACTTACCACTTTCATTTTCCTTAGCAGCAGAAACATGAACAGCAACAGAAATCAGATACACCATCTTGGTACCCACTGGAATATCCCCCCTTACTACTTACTACCGCAACAAGAGAATGAATGAATGAACGAGATTTCTACTTTTTTTTCCTTATTTGTCTGTCCTTACAACGAATGACTAACCGATTCATGATGTTTGTATTCAGCACGCTTGTCTTCTTCTTCCTTCCTTTCTTGATTTGTACGAGTACCCCCCTTTTCGTTTTCCTTCTTCCCGGTGAGTTCTTGCGGATTATCTGGGACATAAAGTGTATTATTAGCAGAGAACCTACCATTCGTAGCTTGAAATATGAGATATGAAGAAAAACTAGTAGTCTTCATTGAACAAGAATTGTTTGTATGTGGGAACTGTTCTGAGGTGATGTGGTGAAATCTTAGTACTTACTAGTAAGTACTACTAAACGGTCGAGAAGGGATATTAGTAGTATGATATGATGTATGTAGTGAGTCGTTCAAGCCACTATATATCGTGTCTGTCATGTGTATAATGAACAAGCAGAGTAGGAAAAGCAGACGTCACAATTTCATGTTCATTGAATGGTATCTAAGTTGGTTGTACGAGAGAAATTGAAACTCTCAAGCTAGCTAACTAAGCTAAGTAGGTAGAAAGGCCGAGATTCTCAAGCCAAGTCAGTCACAGAGACAGAAGCAGTGGAAGGGAGTAGAAAACACGCCGGCGATATGATAATAAGAAGCATCGGAGAAAAGCAGAAACAAAAGGCGAAGAGAAAAAGAAAAGAACAGAAAACTCCATCCCATGTGCCAGTCCAGCCCATTTACCTATCCGTCCGTCCCATTTAGCCCGTAGTATCGCGCCTGTTCCCTTTTCCGACTGATCACTCGGAGTTATTGTTATGTTCAAGACAAAAGACAATGATGCTTTTGTAGCTGATATCAAACACATGGAAACTGAATTGAGGACAGCCGGACACATTAAAAAACCTAGTATAGTCGACCTATTGAGTCAAGGACGCCAGTGAATATCGAACGAGAAGATAGAAGAACGCTGAAAACAAGGACGCTCGTCAAGAGATTGTTTTTTTCTGCGGTAGAATCCGTGACGGGCAGAATCAAGAGGGAAGACTTTGCTTCCGATGGCTTCAAGGTTCCACTGGTGGTCTTGCATATAGGCGGACAAGATCATGCTCATGACGCAGTCGCTTTGTTGCCTCGTGTCTTCTTGGGAGCTGGGCCACCAGGGCTGCCAGCGGCTTCGGCATCTCGCTTCTTGGCTTTGGTCCCTGTTAAAGCAGGAGCTGTCTTTTTGCGGAGCCAACCATCGAACGGACTAACGCGCTTTTTCTTGGCTTCGGAGGCCGTGGGTGTCTCACTATGCTCGGGGCCATCCCGCTTGGATCGCGAACGCAGTGACCGCACCGTAGCCCCGGGTGACGCAGGAGTTGCAACGGAGGATTGCGGGGGAGGAGTGACTGGCCGTTGCTGCATCTCCACGTCAACCGCAGGGTCTTCATCCTCCTCGACTTCATCGTGAAGCAGGTGATCCTCAATATCAGTGGCTGCCTCCTCATCGACATCGCTCGAGCGAGATTCTTGGGGAGTCTGCGACTTCGCGGTAGGGAAGAGCACACGAGGCTTGATTGACGAGCGAGTCAATGGACGAACATTGTGGATAGATGAGTCGATGAGGTCCGGACGGGCTGCCAGCAAGCCCAAGTCGTCATCGTCATCATCAAGGTCGCTCTCAGCGTCATCCGTAAACTTGCGGAACATTTTCTTGCCTCGGCTGCGGGATATGTTAGTACACAAGACAAAAGTAGAGTAGGGAAACTTGTGGAAGTGAACTTACAAAACGTAAAGCATGCCATCCTCACGATTGAGCGAGTCGTCTATTTCCTTGTCGCGGCGGCTCTCTTTGCGTCTGGAGGCACGAGTAGTTGTATTGCTGACTGTGGGTTTGTTGTAGAACGGATTATCTTCGCTTTCGTCGACTTCTGGGATGCGATCGCGCGAGTCGGTGTAAATTTGAATCTCGGAGCCGCCCTGGGCGTTGTCTTCGCAGAAACTATCCAACGAGAAGCCTGTATGCTTCTTCGTCTTCTTTCTGGCGCTAGGGGGCGGAGGGAACAGCACTCGTGCGGTATTTCCAACATCCGCGACAGCCTTCTTGCGAGGCGTCTTGGCTGGAGTAGGAAGCATTCCTTCGGTCATAGTCGGTCGAAGTGATCGCGATTGATGCCGGAGAGAGGAAGGTTCTGCGCCGAAGGGATCCGAGTCATGTGTGCCGGAGGGGCCTCCAAGTGAATGTGTCGCAAACAAGCCGGTAGCTCGGGCCGACTTGAGCTTCCGGGGCGAGGTCTGAACTGAGCCAGGAGGAGACAGTGTGTCGGATTCATCCAAGTCGTACTTGTTCGCGGTGGTCTTCGAGCTCGGGAAGGTAGGCGGGGGAGTGGTACGGGACTCTCTGTCTCTGGCAGCACGTTGGCTTGCTAGTCTGGCTGAGTATCGCGTGGAGTATGGTTCATAATCATCGTATTTAGCTCCAAGTCGCGGAGTAGGCGGGATTCGTAGGGTGGAGGGCGGTGGTGGTGTTGTGGCCATTGTGAATAATGACGCCGAACACGGGCTAATACAGGTCCAGTGTGGCTGTGGATACGCTCAATAGCCCCAACTTCAAGTGCACAATAATACCCAGCTAAACAGATAGATGCGAATCCAAAAGAATTGAGATATATAAGCGTGGTGGGTGATGGGAATCAGGCCGTGACAGGTTCAAGGGCGTTAAAAAGGGAGGAAAACGCCAAAAGCCGACCGTGTAATCCAAGGCAACAGGGCGCGCAATATCGATGGGCGTGTCACTATCAAAGAGCAGATCCAAGGGAGCGAGACCAATGGGACGGTAGTAGCCGTAAACAAAGAAAGGAGGAGGAGGAGTAGTGGTAGTGGTAGTAGTGGTAAGAGTGGATGTGAATTGTGGATGTGAGGGAGAGAAGGTGGTAGTTAGTGGACTGGGGAAAGGGAGGGAAGAAGAGACGAGGTGAGGTTCAGAGAGTGGATGGGATGGCTGGTGCCCGCGATCTGGAATGTTTGGCCCGCTTTGGTGGTGCTTCCTTGTCGCGTCCCAGCCACACCTTTTTTTCTTACACGCCTTCTTCCGCCTCGTTTAGTTAGGCTTTAACAACTAACTAACCAACCAATTGCTTGGGTACCGACTAGATAGACTAATTCCATAGTCGGGCTATTACTTATACTCTCCCATCCCTAACGACTGGCTGAGACTGCCCCACGATAATTAGCTGTCGATCGGCATTCTTCCTTTCTTCATTGGTGGTTATTTCCCCTTCCCCTCCGCCAGCTGGTGCATTTCATTATTCAACTACTCCGATTTTGTATCCTCGTTCCCTTTCAAGATCAACCAAAACAATCATTGTTGTTTCCACAGCCACGCCTCCCCCCCACCATAACCACCACCACCACCAACACCCATACTATCTATCACTCCTCCTAAAACACCATGACGCACCGCAGCACCGCAGAGGAAATGGACAGGCTTCAGCTGTCGGATGATGACTCTGATGACCTTTGGGATTCCCCCTCCAAACGCGGAAATAAAATGCTACACCATAGAGCTGTGAAGGAAGAAAGCATGTCGCCAGAAACCACCATTACCCATGACGGAGGGGAAACTCTGTTTGACCGTCAGGAGGCGCGGGAGGCCGCATTGCGCAGTGAATTGGAGAGCGTCCGCAAGATCAACCAGGTCATTGAGGGGCTACTAGGAAGCTTGGATTGTGCTAAGGAGAACATGGGTGTAAGTTCAAGTCCAACTTACCGTCATCGACCTTCTACAATAGCAATTGCTAACCACCGATGATGATCTGTAGACTGTCTCGCGCACCATAGACTCTGCTTCTACCTTGCTCCAAACCTGGACGCGAATCCTCTCCCAGACCGAACACAACCAGCGGTTAATCCTCAATCCTAATTGGCAAGGCGCCGTCCAAGATGTGGCCGACATGGAGAATGAAGAAATCCTCCGGCAACAGGCAGCAGAGAGACGCGAACGGGAACTTCAACAGCAAAGGGAAGCTGCTGCCCGGAAGGCTGAAGAAGACCAGCGCAAGAGAGCGCTGGCTGCGGGCACCCGCACTACGCGTGGGACGACCACTCGTGGACGGGTGGTGCGTAGCGGTCTGGGAAGGACACCGAGCACCTCGTACTCAGGAACAAGCTCCAGCACTACCAGGACTACCACATCTTCAACATCCAAGCCATCGACGACCTCCACGACGCGTAGACCGGTCAGTGGGATCGCGCGGGGCACAGGAATTGCGCGGGGGCGCGGCAGGGTGTAGAGGAGGCAGGCATGAACAAAAACGATTTTCCATGTACAGTACTACGAGAGAGGAATGACAATGATGATATGATGATACCCAAGATGACATGCAGTTACGTGATGAGTGGTGGAGGTGGGAAGAATGTAACCAGCAGCAGCAGCAGCAGCAGCAGCAGCAGAGCAGCGGGGAAGTGATGGCTGCCTGAGGCGACGAACTGCGGTACCGCGATAAAGCTACTTACTTGAAACTAGTAGCTCAAAGCGTGGGCTGATAAGCGCGTCTCCCGTCCATTCATCCCGTTTGTCTGTCCTTACTTTTCTCTCCTGGCTTTCGTTTTTTCATCTTCCGCTTCATCGCCTGCTCAAGATGAACTTTGCGCCCTACCAGGACGAGTCCCCCGAGGTGGAACGCGCCTTTTCGCCGTCGCTGGCCGACGCGAATCGCATCAAGTCCCCCAATCTTCGATCGCCTCGCGGATCTCCTCCCGTCCCCGGACTCGCTTCACCGGGGCTCCCCTCCCCCAGTCAGTTCGCCGGTGCGGGTCATATAAACACCAGTGGACATGGAAACACGGGATTTGGAAATGATGTTGAGAGCGGTCGTTGGAATCTCGGGGCTTTCGACACCAGTCTCCCCATCCGCATGGATGTTGAAGCTATGCTGGCATATCTGCTTCTGCCTCCTGCCGGTGGTGTCTTCCTCCTGTTGGTAGAACACAAGAGCGACTATGTTCGGTACGATTCCATCTTTCCTATATCCCAGAGGCATCTCTTTGCCAGATTTGCTGACACGCCTTAAAGCTTCCACGCCTGGCAATCGAGCATGCTTTTCACCGTCATGTTTGTAAGTCACGCTATCGACCGATTCGACCGTTGACACCTCTAACGTCATTCAGATACTCCACCTAATATTCTCCTGGTCAAGCTTCTTCTCATGGCTCTTGTTTATTTGTGATATTGCAATGATCGGGTTTCTCAGCATGCGGGCTTATCGAGATGGTGTGTTCTCACGATTGCGCAACGATAACACAAGCTGACCACACTTTAGTTGACACACTCGAACATTTCGAAGTCCCAATCTTTGGCCGACTGGCCAACTCCTTTGTTGACGATGAATGAACTCTCTATAATAACTGCATGATATTGCTCTTCACATGATATGTGTCCCGAGGCTGCTCGCCTGATGCTTCTTAAGCCACCTTGCCTGGACAATCTTCCTGATCAAGGACTGGTGAGCCTTCCATTGTACAGTGTCAATTGAACATATTGCGGAACCTCTTATGTCTTTATAATCTGTTATTTGCTGGCCTGCTGTGCATGATGCTCTGCTATGTATTCCTGTCACTACCCATCATGCTGTCTTCACTTGAATTGTAATATCTCTTTATCACACCTTTCTAGCTGCTCCATACCGTGCTTCGTCAAGTTCCGTCGTTGCCTGCCTGGCTGTGAAGTCTTAACAAAATTTTCATCTTGTAGTGATGCTGAAAACTTGATTCACAGCTTTCCGTGGAATAAACGTCGACACAATGGCTCGGCGTGTGCCCCAATTCACCACACTTTGGCATATAGAAAGATTTCTTTCGGCGCCTAGCAAAGATGCCATAGCTCTCTACTCACCATCTTGCAGATCCATCAGCGAGAAGACAAGCCAAGATTTCCAGACTCATTTGCATGGCTTCAGATAATCAGCCAGTATCGAATCGAGAAAGCAGGAAACTCTTTTTTCTTACCTCTTAACAATCGATGCCCTTTGATCCAGGGCCAATAAAATCCTCCAACGGCGAACTTTCCACTCTACTACGCTTCTGCATGCACCAAATCCTTCTGAGACAGTCAAAAAATGTGCCACATCCAGCGGGTCTGCAACAGTTGCGGACATATTAACGACCACGTCTACCTCGTCTGCAACATCGCCAAAGCCGCAGCTGACACGAATGGAAATGGTGAACCATTCCAGCCCGGTCTCAAAAGTCTTACGCCGAAAACCATCTGGGATAAGATTTCCCAGGTTGGATTCCACGCATCCACACAACCGTATTGCAAAGACGGTAGAATACGTTGCCTGACAACTCCAGGAGGTTTTAGATGTATGGTGGAGGGATGCGGCCGTGCAGACTAATCCGAAGACGTCAATGAACTCTAACCCTCCTACGACCATCTTCCTTCACGATAGACAACCTTGAAATCGAAATCGACCTGCTATTGCTTGCCTTGCAGGCATATCTTCTCCCTCTTCGCGTCCGTCAAAACTTCACACGCTGGCATGTGTTCTCTAGATTGCTAGGGCTCGATTTCTCTCTCTCTCTCTCTCTCTCTCTCTCCCCCCATCTTTGTTTTGTACGATACATGTGCGCGGGCATCTCATTTTGTATCAGTTGGTATTGGTTTCTGAGCATTTCCTAGATGTCGTGCAGGTTCTATACCCTTTTGCTACTCTTATTTTACCAGTGGGGCGAGCTGCCACCAGATGTGACCTCCCTCTAATTGAGCGGTCACTTTATGGTATTGGGTTACCTTTTCAAGCTTGCTCTGCTCAGTTGGTCTCTCTTTGTGGGCTCTTTTAGCCACGTCTACAAATTTTTGGCCAGGTAAATAGTATTGAATGGTGACTCTCTTATCTGGAAACTGTTACATGCATCCCCAACGAGATTAAGCTATAATAAATTGTCTAGTCATAGAACGTAGTACGTATACGCAAAAAATACAGCGCCCATACGCCAAGTTATTATTCAAGTATCTCAACGCAGCTAATTCAAAAAGAAAAGAAAAGAAGAACTAGTCCGTATCTTCAACGAAAGACAATTCGAGCAAAATCAAGCACACAGGTATCGGAGATTCAGCACACAAGAAACACAATCAAGATCAACAAAAAGAGGTCCAAAGAGGTGGCAACCAATTTTGACATGCTAGAAACTGAGGAGAAAAGACGCAAAAAAGAATGTGCCATGGAAGGGGAGGAATAGATACTACTAGACCCAAAGATTAGAAGATGTGGCAAAGAAGAGACAAATGAGCACAATTTGGTATCATGATCATGAACACGTGATTAAGTAGGACATGGTTGGGTCATAGATGGGGTGATGGAATGAATGATTTGGTTGTTGTTGGTTCATGAGATAGGCATTGATCGTGTTTTGTCGTTTGTTTTTTGTTTAGGATTTTTCGTCTTTAGATGATTTGGAGGTAGTTGCTCGGGACTAATCCGGTTCGGCTGCGTGCGGTGGTGATTTCGGCTTCCCACCAGCCGTCGTCTTGAAGGCGGATTACTGATAGGACGTCGCCTTTGCTGAAGCCTAGCTCTTCGGGGATGGCGGCAGTGTAGCTGTACATGGCTCGTGCTGCAGGCAAGGTTAGTTGATTATTGCTATGGGGTTGGAGAGGAGGAAGGGGTATTTACCGAAGTGAAGGATGGGTCGACCGTCGCGGCTGAATTGCCTACTGGGATCGGCAACAGCGACTGTTCTGCTCCTGGACCGACTCCTCACGCTCGCGGCCTCGTCGTAGTATGACATGGGTCTGCCACTGCCACGTCGAGAGCCGTACCCGTCACGACTGCCAGCATACATGTCGGGTTGTCCAGAAAGCTGAAGCTCCATGCCTCCGGCGCTGGATGGCCGGGTTTGTTGTCTGAATTGCGGCTGTGGCGAGACGGCACGAGGCATTGTGTTCTGAGGCTGTCTGTATTGAGGCTGCGGGGACACGCCGCGCGGTGCCATGGTGGGAGATTGCCGGTATTGTGGCTGAGGAGACACGGCACGCGAAGATCCTCTTCGGGCATATTCTGCAGTTGGAGATGCATCCACGGGACGCTGGGATGGCGATGGGACGGTTGGCGATTGGTTGTACCGGCTTCTCATGCTGCTGCTCGAATGGTAAGTTGGACTAGGGCTAGCCGCTCTACTGTATTGCCCCATGCGGGTGTCAACTCGAGGACTGACATGAGGGCTCGCACTTCGTCCTGGACCGGGTGAACGAGCTCGTGTGGCCTCCTGGGACTGTCCACCGTGTCGGCTTGTCAAAGAAGGGGGCTTGCTCGAGCCACGAAGCATACTCTGGGCCTGGCCAGTGTATCTCTGAGTTGTTTTCTGCATCTGCGCTGACGTAAATGCGGGTTGCGGAGCGTCGAGGCGTTTCAGGGATGAATCGTTGTAAGCGGGGGGAGGTGTGCTCACAGCGCCCGGGTTAGCAGCTACTGGTGGCACTGGAGTTGCAATTCCGTGGTATCTGTCAGCAGATACACGAGTGGTTGATTGCTTCCCTGCTACTTTCAGATCTGCAAGAGCCCGGGCAATCGGATCGAGCTCCTCTTCACCAGCCTTGGCTGCTTTCGATGGGGATCCCTTCTTATCCTTGTCAGGGGAGTCCACGTCGAAAACATTGTTTCCGACATTAAGCTGGAAGTTTGCCCTTGGATCCACGGGCTCGGGGCTTCCAGATACTCGGTCGGGGTCGGGAACCGAAATTGGCTGTTGGGGTTGAGGAGCTTTAACGGGACTGGTGGACTTTGACGGTGATTCCCAAGTGCCGCGAGAAGGTGGTTGAGATGGGCCAGACTGGCGGTCTTTATCATGGCGGCTCTTGCGTCGGAAGGGACTGTTGCTGAAGAATGCACTCCTCTTCTTTTGTACCTGTTTGTCTGCCCCTAGACCTGGAAGGGCTACACCATTCGTGGGTTTCGTGGGAGATTGTCTGGCACTTGGTGGCTCCTGACTCGACATCGATGTAGGGTTTGACACTTCGCTCTGGGAATCCCGACTGGACGGTCGGTAGGCGCTATTGGATCCCGAGCTGCGCTCTGAAGGCGGACCTGTCCTGCAGAACATGGTCATACCATCGGTTGGATAAGCGTTGTGTGGCACCTTTGCAATTTCGCCATGCTGGTTGGGGTCATAGTTCGGTGGAAGCTGACCGCCACGCCGTAGATCCAAGGGAGCGGGTTGCTGCATCGGTTGTTGCATTTGTTGCGGCATTTGCTGAGGCATTGGCTGTGGCATACCAGGTTGCTGCACGGGTGGCTGCATTGGCGGCTGCATAGGTTGCTGCACTGGCGGATGCACGGGCTGCTGGATTGGCTGTTGCGGCTGTTGCTGCATAGGCTGCTGCACATGTTTTTGTACGGGCTGCTGCATTGGTTGCTGTGGTTGTTTTTGCGGAGTGACTGTAGCTTCCCTGCTCGAAGGAGTGGACGGGCCGTTTATCTTGGCTGCAATTTCAGCATCGGGATCAATTTGAGGCTCGTACGAAGAAGGCTGCGGTGATGAAGTGCGATATGCTGGGTTTATCGTCCGTTGGAACTGGGCCACCGAGTACCCTTCTTCTTCAGATACTTCCGAGCTGGTATCGTTGATGTCGCCCCGGCAGAAGTTGATAAACTTGGGAGGGTCAGGAATGTCCTGACCGGTTCCTTTCTCTTTGATGAAGTAGATAATGTCCTTTTCGACCTCGCAGTCCTCCAGGGAAAGTCGGATTTTCTCGCAGGACTATTGATCGTTAGCGGAAGCCCGGAAGTTGGGTTGGTAGAACGTACCGCATCATCACTGACGCAGACAGTTGATGCAATATTCGCATACGTCCAGAGACTGCTCTTTGTAAAGTCAAGTCTCTCTTCCTCGAGATCTTGGAATTTCTGGAACAACTTATCAGTATACAGACGTCAAGACTCAAGACAAGTTGCCGATCGCACGTACATCACAAGCTGCTTTCCACTCCTTGTTCCAGCGTGTAGTAGTCTCTTCGAGAATTTTAATAGCTGCTTCATACTCGCTACTGCTCGATGCCAGCTGTATTTGCGTCTTCTCCAATTTCGCTTTGTTCTTACGCTCTTCGTGGCCCATGACCATGTGCCCTTGAGCCAAATAACCCTTGATCCGCAGGCAATCTTGTTCGTACCGATCTCTGGTCTGCTTTGTTCAGTACGGTCCTGTGCACTTTTCCATGGGCAGGGCAATCTACCTTGTTGACAGTCTGAGTCTGTTGGATTTTAGTCTTCAGAAGACGCTCAATACCGTTCTGTATGATCTTTCTTCGCTCCTTGGAACCACCGGCGAAAGCAATCAATGGCTCCTCTAGCTCTCTCTTCATCTGGCCCGCAATTGCTGCGTGGGCCTTCGCAATAG